TTACAGAAATAGGTAAATTGTACTCCACAAATTAAAATCTTTCAGTGAGAATTCGTAATGCAGTACAAAATTTCAAGTTATACATCATCCCTTACATATTTCACTCGCAGGTTACAGAATTGATTGACAAATTTGTAATGAAAATTAGACTGTAAGAAATAACATTATTCAGCTTCTGAAGAAGCATTTCTGAAATAAATATATATAATTTAACGAAACAGAAGAATTGTGAGGATGCTGCTGTACGTGGCAAACACAGCTTTTTTTTTTTTTTTGGTTAAAAAACACTTTTTTTTAGGTACGGGTATCTTTTTATCGGAAATAATCTCGCATTTTAGAGAGCTGTACCAGGGCTATGCAAAAACCCGATAGTCTAACCCAAGCAAACGCAGTCCAGTATGGTCCAGAAAAAATTGGCTCAAAATAACACTGGACTAGACTAGACCGGACTGGTCTCATTTGGTTGACTGGACTAGGGACTAGCCCCTCAGACCAGTTAATCTAGTCCAGTCTAGCCCGGTTTTTTTTAAAATTATTATTTATATAATCTTAATTTGATTTAATTTTTCTATATAAGTTTTTTGTCTATTCAAATAATCAAGATTTATCTATTGACTTCCTAAGTAAGAGCATGCATATATATTTTTTACAATATAAAATCTATATTAATGAGGATTAATTAATAAAACATGACATATTGGGAAATTGAAAGGAAATGATCAAATTTGATGAACTTTAAATTGAAATATTTGCAAAATTTTATATAGTAAGTTACAATCTTGTATCCTATTGAAGAAAAAAAAAAATTTTAAAATAAATTTAGATTCTGAACTGCCTGGACTGGTCTAAGCAGTCAAGAGGATCAAAGTCCAGTCCAATCGACCTCAGGTTGGTACTGGACTGGACCAGACCTCAGACTGTCTTTTTCAGTCCGAGATCTTTACTAGACCAGACTTTGAGTTGATAACAAACTATATCCAATCTAGTCCATACACACCCCTAAGCTATACTATGAAGCACAAATGTCTCTATAGTGAGCCCAGGCCCAAATCCGAACAGGACACCCAATCAAGCCCCTCACCCGTAGTTTTAAGCCCATCTTCAGCGGCTTCTTCCTCATGTCATCTCGTCTAAGATTAACAACACGCAAGCACTGGACATGTTCCCGTACTCAGTAAGAATATGTTGGGTGGCCCGAATGGTCCAAGATGGCCGGGCCACCTGCATGCGCGATCCAAAGGAGTTGTAATCAAAATTCCCAATGGCCTGAATGCTTCCCCTAAGGCCTTCTCAATGTTCTTTTCATTTTTTTGTTTCTGAAGGAGGGCTACCAGATTACAAAATGTCTTGAGTTAATTCCACTACAATCATTGTTCACCGGTGATCTCAAATGCTCTGGGCAAGCATCAAAGAGAGGGTGGAAAGTAAGCCCAATTCCCCAACAAGCCCATCAATAGTCCCTTCACTGTCAGCAACTATGGTTTGGGCCGTCTATACTATCTCAAATATGGGCTTCTCAACTCGTGGAATCGGGTCGGAGCCCACAATGACCGCTGCCGCTCCATCACCAAACAAAGATCGGCCCACAAGGCCATCAAGATGGTTATCACTGGGCCAACGAAACGCGACGGCAGAGCACCCGGGCTCCTTGGTTATCCTCAGCCAAGTCTTGGCCCACCAGAGCACCGTGCCGCCGGTGAAGCAGCCTTGCTGGTACATCATGTATCGCTCCACGGGCGGGCAAAGGCCCAAGAGCTTGGCGAGCTGATAATCAGCTCCGGGCATGTTGACACCATGGGCGCATAAGAGTGAGTGAGTAATTTTGGATCTGGGTTGACCCCATTCTTTAATGGCCTTGGTTGCCGCCTCTTTTCCCAGCCTTGGGACCTCCAGAACCACAATGTCTTGTCTAGCATTAATTGAGGGCACAATGTAAGCACACATGTTAGGGGTTACAAAACTTGGCCCTAGTTTGAAGGAGATTTTAGGTTTCCTGCACACAACGGATTTTACAAAATCCGTTCTTGGATCTGCAGGTGCGTTATGGTTGTTGCGTAATAAAGAGTTTGAACAGAAGCATTTTAAAAGACCGAACAAAATGACGTTACGCTCATGATTTCAGGCTCAGTACAGATAAAAAAGAAAAAAAGAAAGAAAACAGAGAACTAAATGCCTTCTTTTATATATAGAACAGAGGTAGTTACATAAAAATATAAGTAAAAATGACTAGAAAACCATTACAAGTTACAAGATACACTAGATGTGTACAGTCTCACCTAATGGAAGAATATACTCGATAATGCATTCGGCAAATCTGTGCCCTTTCGGCTACTTCTCGTAACCATAACACAAGACCCTAGATAGCCAAGTGTAGCCGCAAGCAACAAAGGAGATGCATTATCCATCAACAATGAATTGATCTTCTGATTATCTCCCTCAACCCTAGTGTCACCGTGAACTACACCATTTACATGATGCAAGTTTTGCATCATCTGTGAAAGATAATGGTTGCTAGCACTAGTATGATCAGATAAACCAGCAGGTTGGGCAGTCCACTGTGAGAAAATACCAAGCAATTGGCTAGTAAGATTTTGTTGTTCATGAAGTATGCGTGTTTGCATCTGGCCCATTTCGGCACGGTGCTGATTTAAAATATCATCAATCCTCTTCTTCCATTCTAACCTTTTGTTATTCATTCTTTCCTCCCAGTCCCTTTCATATATTAACTCTGCTTCTCTTCTTTTTCTTTCTATCACTTCATTCTCCTTCTCTATAGCTTCCCACTCAGACATTCTCTGCCTCCTCAAATTCTCCCTTTCTTTTTCCCTCTCCTCCCTCTCCTTTTCTCTTTTTCCAGTCTCTTTTCCCATTGCTTCTCAAGCTCAATTCGAAAGTTTTCCCTCCTCTGCCTCTCCCGCTCTCTGTCTATCTCTTGTCGCTCAAACCGAGCCTCCATTTCTCTCAATTGACCAAGTTGGCTTGCAAGCATCCTCCATGCCTTTTTCCAACCCCTTCACCACCTTTCTCTTCTTCTTTAAGCTGGACCCAGTCAATTCCACTTCTTCATACACATAACCATTGTCTGCATCTTCCCTCAATCGATCACTTCCGTTATATATTCACTTCACCCCTTCTTCAGCATCATAATCAAAACCCAAATTCATTACCTCATTCTCAACCCCATCAATCCCAGCCGTGAAGTCCCCTTCCCCTGAATGACCTATTTGGCCAAACTCAATGATATCCATCGTCCCGCTGTGCCCCAGAAACCCTCCATTTTCACGATCCCCATTTGCCAAAGTCATTAACTCATTGTTATTACTATGACCAAGAGCCACATCACCGAAAACCTCCTTATACCTGAGAAAATTAGACCAATGGGTAAGACCCTCAACCCAATCAAACTCATTCCCATTGGAATCCCCACCAGAGTTTTCCATTGACGAAAACTCAGGCTTCTTAATTTTTTGCTTGACAAGTAAAAACTGGTGCCTCATGTTCTGGACCTTAGTGGACACATCCTTCCAAGTCCACTGCCAGGGATAGGCAACGGGATCGCGAAGATGGTGAACCGAATTGACATAACAAGCAATGGGTTTGAACTTTTTCTCACGGGGTTTCATCTTGGCGAGTGTTCCGTCAGCAACCATGTCGCCATACTTATCAATTAGGGTTTTTTCCTCAGCCTCGGTCCATTTCTTTCTTCTTGGAGGCACCATCGGGAACCGACCCCAGGATCCTCCTCGAAGACAACAGGCTTATCGGATATAGAATTTTATAGCATAATAGAAATGAAACCACCACAATTCAATACGACCAACAACGAGAGCAGCAAATGGATGGCACTTACCTTCTGTGATGGTGAATAAATCACAAGAAGCTCAAGTGACGCTTGCAGCAAGAAGATGGAGCAGCGGAAGTGCTGAAGAGTGACTTTCTCGAGGAAACGGGGGGAGATATGGGAGGGATTGATGCAGGTTCGCGCAGGAATCGGGAGGGCGATATTTCCACAGAACCATCTAATTTAATATAATAAAAGTAATTTGGGTGGTTTGCTGCGTTGTCGGAGTGGTTGATTGTTCGTGGCTCTGGCCGCGGAGGTTCGATTCCGTTTTTTCCTATGTTGTAGTAATCCTTTATTTCTAGTTATTGAAATTTCTTACAGAAAAAGAGGTTTGTGAGCGTTAAAATGCAATTGAAAAAACACTGGTAAATAAATATAGGAGAAAATTAGCCCGAAGGACCGATACAGAGAGATATTTAATCTAAAATCCCTCAAAAATGTTATTTATCTTGAAGAATTAAAAAGAATTTCTTTGTGACCTTTTTACATTATTGCTTCATTGCTCCTAATCACGGAATAGTGGAGACACAGACCATCGCATCTCTTCCACATAATTCTGTGTCATTGGAAATTTCTTCATCGCCTACTTCCATCCATGTCCAAATCTTGATTAATCCATGGTAAAGATGAAAGTGGTGACGAGTTTGAAATTGTAAATCTGGTTCTGGTTGAAAATAGAAGAGGAAATGTAATGTAATTAAAAATATTGAAATAATAATCACGGAATATTTAAATATTACACAAATGGAAGAGAGACACAAAAGTTCGCATTACTTAATTAATAAAAAAATATAAGCAGTTATAAGATTGGGAAAATTAAAAATAAATCCTAAATAAAGAAACTGATTATTTTTTTAAGATTCATTTTATAAATAAGATCTTATGATTAGAACCGAATGTAGTGTTAAACTTTATGTTTGCAAATAGATAAGACTTATCAGTAGTTAATCTTTTTTTATTTTTATTGGCACATATATGTTTCTCCTATAAGTTTGGAGATTCATTGCTTGCTAGTTAACAAGTTAATAGATTCATAATTGGTTCAGTGACAAACAGCTTAGTCTAGTCCCTATGCGACGAGATGATGTGAATTCTCTATATGATAGTTTTATTATGCCTTCTACTTTGTTTCTTTTTTCTTATTAATGATTATGCATGAAAATGAAGCCCTTTGCTGCGCTGCATCGGCTTCTTTGTTTCTTTAAATAATTATTAAAAAAAAAAAAACAGCCCTTCGCGCACGTGCCAGTTTCAGTTCAAATCCCTCGAGAAAACGAAGAATAATGAGAAAAGACACAAAGAGGACTAGAGGAGAGCTAAATGACATGTTGTGATCAACATCCCTAAAGACATTTGTGAGACAGTTGCTGCTGAAGTCTTGTACAAGAACACGAAAGATGTCTCTTTCCCTGTTCATTTTTAGAGAGAGAGAGGGAGATAGAGAGAACAAGGTGCTCTCTCTCTTGTCCCGCCACTCTGGCCCTGCGGTTTCAATTCTTTTTAATAAAACCTTTCATCAGATGTCCTTTCTATAACACTAGCTTCTGCTGCTGGTCCATGAGAAACAAAGACTGGCTCAAAAACTCTCTCAGGCTATCTAAGCTCGTGTGAAAGATTCGTACGAGATGGCAGGACTTTCATTAGGAGTACTGGGTTCCGTGGGTTTGGACCCCATGTCTTTGGTTTTGTGAAGAAGGAAGGTGCCCCCTAATATTGTCACAAAGCCACACAACTCTGTTGCTATCTGAGATGCATTTTGTGAGTCCCACTCCTTCATCCAACAACACCACCAACTAGCTCAGTGAGAATGCTAACTAATAGTGTGTAGTAATGAGCGTTAGGCACGCACCTTGAACATGATTACGCTGGCTAGTATAGTAAATGTTGTAAACATCACGTAGTAAACTGGTGATACGACAGCTGTGTTGAAGGTGTCCAAAGCCTGCAAAAATTATTCCAAAATGAAATTGAAAGTCAAACCACGACTCTAGCATATTACTGGTTTCCAGTCTACCTGGCCTGATCAATTGTGGACTGTGGACGTAGCATAATGACAGTAACAATCCATTAACTAACTGTTAACTAATAGATATGATGCATCTTACCTTGTTCAAGTAATTAATCTGCAAAAGACAACATCCTATCACAAGCAAGGTGAAAAACCAGGTCTCAAAGTATTTGAATTGATTCATCCCTTCAAATGAAAGCTTCAGCGCTATTCCTACAGCTTTCACGCCCATAACCTGCACAAATTAAAACAAGGGGAGGATAGGTTTTCCGGCAGTAGCCATGACACGTGGTGAGCTTCAAAAATATAATTAATCCGTACCGTAAGAGAGCCGACGAGAGAACATATTCCGACATAGATGATCATATGCGTCTGCCCATGACGTGGCACATACCAGAAAATAAGAACACAAACAGCAATCACAACAGCAATAGTGTACACAAGAAAGCCTGTTCGTGAACAATTTCTTGCTGTTAGCTAGATTTAGCATGAAATAGATGTATACTACGGACCTAACTGAATTTGTTAATTGTGAAAAGAAGTTGTTAAAACAAAAATAAGGCACAAAATATACCTGGTTCTGTGGCGAGTTCCCACACTTCCTTAACAGAATGAATGTTTCTCTCATGCGGTGCATGCAAAACAATAGTTGTAGAGCCCACCATACACAGAGCACATCCAAGCTGACCAAACACGTGCAATTTCTCACGGAGGATAAAATGAGCTAGCACTGCACTGCGCATTGTGAATGTTTTCTTTCATGATGGGCGCATCCAATTGAAGGTAAGGATTGAAAATGCACATCTACAATGGGTCAAAGCGAAAGAAAAAAAAAGAAAGGGTTCTTAACAGTTTACTGTGAGGAATGCCGTTGGTTACCTGAAAATGATGCTTAAAGCTCCTAAAGGAGTTACAAGTATAGCAGGAGCAAATGCATAAGCCGCAAAGTTGGCGATTTCCCCAAATATCACTAGAAACAACATAACCACAGAATTTAGCATCATCCATAGGATTAGTCCTTCCAATATTATGTGCATCAGTTGTTCAGAAGCAAAGGACATGTTTACGGCTACAGAATTCTGATAGCAGTTAGCACTTCGAAAGGTGTTGGAATCTTTTCCATTGACAATAAAACTCAAACACGTAATAACCACTTCTCCACCTTTTCACCTGGCCTTTGACCAGAAACATAAGTCTATGGTATCGCACAGTACTTCATGCAAACATGTTGGAACCGATTAGAAGTTTATAATTCATAGCTATCCTCTATCTATAGAAAAAATAAGAAATCCGCTCCGGATTAATTGAGCTAATCTCTTGAAAATCTCTAGGATCCATTTGGCATCAACATGTAGTGAAGTTTGATTTTGTGTATATCAGTAGTCTTCTTCATGCATAGTCTTGTAGGGTGGGGGGACAAAGTAAAGGCAATGCAATATAATACTTCCTCTTTCACACTGCATCTCTCAATTTCCTCTCATCTTGGAAAAGTAAACAACATCTAAAGTGGAAAAGTAAACAACATCTAAAGTCTACATTAAAAAAAAAAACAATCGACTATTCTGATTTTATTTGAGCAACAATATAAAAATTTCAAGAACAGAACCTTACCAGAAATAACTTATGCTACATAAAGAAGTAGGAGGAATTCACTATATATGTGTAATAAAATGATAGAAATAGCCATCTTCCCGCGCGCGGCTTCAGTCAGAGAAGTAAAAGTTTCAAGGACTGAACTGTTTCTATAACTCTAGTCCAACCCCTCAGAGGCCACAAGTGAATATGATTGCGGGCACTCATTTGAACTTAATATAGGGAAATTTTACATCCTTGTCTTTCGGCCACGCAAGGAAACAATTTACTTAATTGGAAACACGAGAGCTACGGTAACACTTGAACCTTTTAATATTAGAAGAAAAGCGTGAAATCTGTTTATAATAGAACTTGTTAACTGGAAAATACAGAAAACACCCTTATATTGTGCAATGCCACATGACGTAATAAAATACTGTAAAAACCAGTGACGATTAAAACTCACTTACTTGTGATCATTCCCATCCACCACCATGGTTCATACAGGTATGCATGGCCTCCAGAGGCTGATTATATTAAAGAGCACGAAATAATGGAAAATGAGGGCAAATTTTTGTGTTTAATAAAGATAGCAAGAAAATGAAAAAAAAAATAGATATATAAATAAAAAGGTGAACCTGCTCTGTTCCCCGTATTCCCAGCCCTTTGGAGACCCTTCTTTTTGATAATGAAGCTAGACCCAATGAAAACGCTCGAAGACACAGCGAGAACAAGGCCTTTTACGTTGTCAGACGATATCCCCATATATCACGAAAAAAGAACAACAGCACCCAAAGATTCTTCGCCGAAGATTGCAGGCAGCGCCAAGATGAGCAGAAGTTCTTCAAATATGGCACGTAAATGAAAAGTAAGAATCCAAAAGGGCAAAAACAAAACAAGGTAGGATTGACAAACAGAGCATACCTTCTTGGCACCCTGCAAACAGATATCAAGCGATAAACAGTAAGCCGAAAAGAAGAGAAAAACGCATTTGTGAATCGAAAACCACAGGAGCAGGGTTCTTCAGGTAGCTGTTGCGAGGAGGCGGAGGAAGAACGAAGGCCAGTCGGAGAAAGAAGGGCAGGGCGGGTGGTGGAAGAGGGGCACGAGGAGAAACGTAGAGGTGGGAGCAAGACGCAACGGTAAGTCCGTTACATATGCATCCCACGAACAAATGGGAAAATACAGCCACAATTTAACAAGTTTTCCGCGGATCCAGATTTGCTGCTTTTTTTCCCTGATATATATTCTTACTCGCTTGTGATCTTAGCCGTTTTCTTAATCGACGGATCCCATTATGCCACCCAATATTAATGGATTCACACGGGGACTATGCATAATCCAGACCGTTGGCTTCGAATCTCACTCTCGGATAATGATTATGATCCAAGGAAACTATTGAGGAACATTGATTCCGTTTTCCCCCCCTTTTCACCATATCTCCACCGCCGTTATCGAGAGCTTGTTTCCTCTTCATGCCTTGAACCCCCAACCATATCATCCATTTCTTTTTATCTGAAGTTAAATTTGGTCTGTTCATGTGCTTGTATTAGTTTTTTAGAAATAATTTTACAAAAGTATATGTAAAAAGAAATTGTTCACCACTTATATCAAAACACCTTTTTAATTATATGGGATGCCATATAAAATCGGTAGGCTACATTTCAACTTTCAAGCAACCAAAAAAAGAAAAATGACAATAAAATATTTTCTGAATTTCAAAATGACAAATAAGGCATCCGAATAAATAAAATGACAAAGAAGACATCAGGTACCAATCTGGGATTTTGATTTTGAATTTTACAAAACACACAGTAGGATTTACAGCTTTCATGGTGAGAGTTACTACTTCATTAATAGGTTTTGCAATCTGTTTTGAAGGGCTGGGCAAGTTTTGTCTAATTTTATAAACACATAGTGGGATTTACAACTTTTATAGTTAGATTTACTACTTGGTCAATGGGTTTTGCAACCTGTTTTGAGAAGTTGGGCAACTTTTCTGTAAAAAAATAATACAATTCCACGCTGAATTTTACAAAACACATAGTGAGATTTACAACTTTCATAGTGAGAGTTACTATTTCGTCAATAGGTTTTGCAACATGTTTTGAGACCAAAAATCAAAATTCCAGATTAGTACCTAATACCTTATTTATTGTTTTATTTATTTGGATGCCTTATTTGTTATTTTGTCATTTGAAATTCAGAAGGTATTTAATTGTTATTTTTCCAAAAAAAAAAAAAAACTTCTGCTAAAGGTTCTCTTTCTCACAAGAATTTGTTAGTCAAATTCAAAAAGTTAAACGCAAGTGTAATGTCCAAACATGCTTTAATTATTTCTGGCTAGATTAGGCGCATGCTTGGTTTCATATTGCATCTAAATGCACGCTTGGCAATTGTTGTGACTTGTAATATATTGCTTCCAATCCTAATTATAAAAACTAGTTGACTAATTTGAGGAGATTAAGGGAAAAAGTTAAGTTAGTTATTTGTAATAAATAGGTGTTGTTTTTCCTAAAATATCCTTGTTAATCAAGTTTATTGACTAGAACTACTATTATTAGAGGGACTACCTTGAAAAAAATATATAAATATAAGAGACAAAGTGGATTAGAGTTTTATAATTAGGATCAAAATAAAAGTCAAACAAAGTCTTATATTAAGGACCGGAGGTAGTATTTTTTTAATATAAGAGTTAGTTAACTAATTTGATTAGATTAAATAAATTTATTAAGTTAGTTATTTATAATATATAGGTGTAAATGTGTAGTAGTTAGAACTATCATTTCATAGAACATTTAACCTATACAACTACTATGATGACTATTTTGAAAAAATAGATAAATGTAAGAGATAATAAATTAGGATCTTATATTTATGACTAGAATAAATGTTAAAAATTATTTCGAAAGTAATATAAAGGGGAAATTGCAAAAAAAGACCTTGGAATTGTAAAAACGCAGATAGGGACCCTTGACAACTTCACTTTGGGTTTTGACAAGAATAATATGCCCTGAAGTTGTCAAAACCCAAAGTGAAGTTGTCAAGGGTCCCTATCTGCGTTTTTGCAATTCCAAGGTCTTTTTTTGCAATTTTCCCTAATATAAATGAGGTTGAAGAATTTTATAAGACACTCCATTTGTATGATTGCCAATAATGTGCGATTTGATGTACGGCCTAATCATCGATTTGATATTATTTTATCAGTAAATAATTTAAGAAATATAAACGACTCAAAATACAGTAAAGTTTCAAACAATTAATTGCTATTTCATGCCCAATGCTTAACCACTTCAAACATAATATTGCACATTTGACCAGGAGCTTAACATCTTTTTCTTTCCGTCTCTTTTTAACGCCCCTCTACCTGTACAAAGTTTTAACTTTGACACAATGTAAAACCTACTACCTCCTCTCCTTAGTACTAAGAGCCAGTTGACTGATTTGAAAAAATTAAGGAAAGAAGTTAAGTTAGTTATTTATAATAAATATGTATTGTCTTTTCTAAAATATCCTTACTAATCAAAAGTATTAGTTAGAACTACCATTGTTAGAAAGATTAGCTTAAAAAATATATATAAATATTAGAGACAAAGTGGATTAAGGTCTTATATTTAGGACCAAAATAAAAGTCAAACAAGGTCTTATATTAATGATCGGAGGTAGTATAAGATTTTATTTGACTTTTATTTTAGTTCTAAATATAAGACCTCAATCCACTTTGTCTCTCATATTTATGCATTTTTTTAAGGTAGTCCCTCTAACAATGGTAGTTTTAGCCAATACACTTAATTAATAAGAATATTTTAAGAAAGACAATATATATTTATTACAAATAACTAACTCAACTTCTTTTCTTAATCTCCTCAAATTAGTCAACTAGTTCTTATTATTAAAACCAGGTTAGTAATATTTAACCTCTTTTAGATGCTACCAAACTATATACTACCTCTAATCCTATTTATAAAATCTTGTTCGGAAATGATAAATGAGGCTTAGGATCAGAGTTAGCATACTAGTCAAAGTAAAAGTTAAATGTACATGAACATGGGCATCACGTGACGTCGTCAAAAGAAAGGAGATACGGCCGGCAGGCTTCAGATAAAAATTAAAAGATCACAATTTTTTTTTAAAAAAAAAGAGCATATGCTTACGTGGAGAGCAAATAATTTCCGAAGGGGAAGATAATGTAGGACAACCAAATATTAGATTTAATAATCCGTGTCGCGTGGGCCCTGAATTGCCGTGGGATAATTGAATTCATCGACACATACATGCGACCACGTAACCATCATATTTTCAGTATCATATTAATAAATAAACTTATGATCCCTATTAGATTGTCAATTTTAGAGGATATTCCTGTTTGATATCCAAATCTTAAGTACTTCCTCAATAATTCAACATTATTTAGATATATTTCATACTGCTCAAGAAATACGGAACATTTTTAATATGTTGTGATTGGCCTATGGCAAATTTCTAGTTACTTCCCAAATGATGGGTTTTTAATAATATTAAATAGTTTAAGTTTATTGACTTTTAAATCAAATAATCAAATAAAAAATACGTGAATTGAAGAGATTAAATGTGCTTTGACGAATTATATTATCAACTGCTTAGTTTTTATTTGGATTTTAACCCATATAATTATAATCATCACCTTAAGATTCGGGTTTGTTTAATGGTAAGGGATAAGAAAGCCCAGATCATGGTAAAACTTAGGATAATTGTGTTTTCAAAAAATCAAGAAGAGAAATTTCATTTCATATTTGATGAAATGCTCAGGGCATGAGGTTACATGAATAGACGCAATGGTATATAGCGGGCCAAGCATCCGAAACTCAATAATAGAATATACAATAGAAGGATCGTAAGAATTATTCCGAAACAAAAAGGCTGTTGCTTTAATGCGCAACTAGTACTATCCTAAGACTGGGAGCTGCACATGACCTGCAAAAGAATACTAACCTTGAAGTTGAAATAAACTAATGCATCCATCTGGCCATTTTCAAAGTCATAATCTTTCTCTTTTTATTGGCACGATTCTTGGCAGAAATTCTCATCTTGCGCTTGGCATTTCGCATCGGGTTGATGACAGCCATGATCTTCTCCTCTTGTTTCTTCTTATCTCTCTTTGCTTTTAGCTTCTTCCCGATAAGGTTGTACACCTGCACAAAGTTTTGAGTCCCCAAAATGGTCTGCATTTTCTCAAGGCTCTCTTCCGCTAACTGCTTCATATTATCTGGTAATGAGGATAAAATTAATCAACTAAATAACAATAAACAACGCATAACAAAACAAGACAAAAGGATCCATAAATCGTGATTTTTCCTTTCCCACCAGAATTTCTGACCAAGCATGCCTGCACTCTAGACGCATTGCTTCTTTCAATAAAAGATAAACTCAGAATCACTTAAGCTGAAAGTGAGAGTCTGGCTCGCAGAGAAAAAGTAAAATATACAAAGAAACAATGGAATTTCCGTTGCTTTCCTACTTCTCCAGATTAATTAAAAGGAGGGAAGAAAGGAACCTACCAGGGATCACTTTGCCAGCAAGTCCTCCACAGACTTTATACAGAGGTAGCAAGACTTCAGACGCATAATGCAGACAGTCATCCTGACTAATCTGTGACATTATACTTTTAAAACTGTTGAAGACTATTCCCATCTGCACTCAAAAATCAAAGTAATTTCGCTAGTAGGCACATCTGTCAAGAGAAAGGTAATACACACAAAACGAAGGGGCAAAAAAAAGAAATTACATAACTTGCATACAAACCTGGTAAGTCTCCATTTGAAGGGCAATTTTTCCCATTTTCCTGAGCACTGCTGAGACGAGAACATGTTGGATACTACCTGTACTCTGCTGGTTGTTTTGTTCATGTACAGGAGATGTCTGAGGTAAGAACAAGCTCCTTCCCTTCTTTGAATCAAGCAAGTCAAAAGCTTTAAGGAACCGGTCTTTCTCATGCTGCTCAAGAGAAGACCAGAATGCAGAAGGATCTACAGGTGCAATTTGTCCCATCACAGAATGGACCCCGCAAACGGCAAAGACAACACTTTGGTTCATCAGGTTGGCATCCGCACCCTCCATGAGTGTTGTTTTAAGTTGGCAGCAAAGCGAAGCAGCTATATGAAATAGTCTACT